AAAAAAAAAAAAAAAGAAATTAAATGTGGACAATCTGTAATAATAGACAACATATAAGAAACACCCCACTATAACACAGTACAATTCAGCTGCACCACAGCCAAATTGAAAAAATAAATAAATAAATAAATAAATACCTCTTTAAAACAGACCTGCATAAAAGTGGGAATTATTACAGGTCTGTTGTATTAAGCTGCATAAGTAATGGTTAGGTGTACCTAATACACTGGCAAATAGAGCAACTGATGTTTGTTATACTTTGGAAATAATGAACCTTTGTTATATTTCAAACCATGCTAAGTATGGAGCTTGTACCCTCAGGCAGATTACACGATACAGGATGCCCAAATTTAAACTGAATCGTTTCAGAAATTTATTTTTGCCAACTTCAATTAAGATTTCTCTCTCTCTCTCTCTCTCTCTCTGTCTCATTGTGTCATATGGATTACTGTTAATTTATTATGCTGATCTGTTCTGTACGACATCTATTGCACGTCTGTCCGTCCTGGAAGAGGGATCCCTCCTCAGTTGCTCTTCCTGAGGTTTCTACCGTTTTTTTTTCCCCCCGTTAAAGGGGTTTTTTTTTTTTGGGGGAGTTTTTCCTTATCCGCTGTGAGGGTCATAAGGACAGAGGGATGTCGTATGCTGTAAAGCCCTGTGAGGCAAATTGTGATTTGTGATATTGGGCTTTATAAATAAAATTGATTGATTGATTGATTGATTGAAACCCAAATATTTTCAGTCTACAACAAAAATAAAGGAATTGGCCTCACTGTTCCAATACTTTTGGAGGGCACTGTATGCCGTTTGGGTGTAGTTTTTTTGTTGACAAAGATATAGTGACTCCAAACAAAAGACAAAAAGACGAAGTCACTGAGAGGCTAAGTGAGGGAGCATGGCACTGTTGACTCGCCACACAAACGACAAAGCCATTTCCGAGTTTTCCGACTGTGTCCGTATTTATTTTGGTCAGTGAACAAACAGGCAAAGCAAGGCAAGACACGACAAGATGTTCAAATACCCAGTTTTCAGGTCGGTTAAGCGGTCAACAAAAAATACGCTCTCCCTACTCACCCCCTCTCCACGCAGCTGCCGCGGTGAACAGGTGAATATATGCCCATTCATTCAATCACTGCTCCCTGACCACACCCACGTGACGTGTGAAAGGTGTCAACTGACAGCTAATGTCAACACAAACATAAACATCAATACCTTAGCATATAGCACCTACAACAGCTAAACTTTAGAAAGCTCTTTATACTAAATCAGCTGTCCCTGTCTGGTAGCAGGCCAAAGTACAGATGCAGCTTTATCCTCAGCAGCCCTGTTTCCCTGTACCTTCCATCAAGCCCACCGTCAGGGGGGTCAAAGGGTACAGATGGCCAAGGGGGACCAATGAAAAAGTCTATGGTTGACCTTTAAATGGAATCAAGTACAACAATTTACTTACTGACTTAAATCCCTGACAATACAAGTTCTATTATTTACACGATAAATCAAAGTATTTTATCATTTAAACACATTTTAGCATTCCATCTGGTGCCCTCACCCCCTGCAGGTATACAAAAATGGCTCAGTCCATCTGACATGGGTCAGATACATGATGTGCAGAAATCACAAGCCCATCAGTGTAAACATTAAGGGTGCAAATCACCACTTTAATCGAGATACGGTATTATATCGATTCTTTGAAAAACAATACAATATTTATATAATATAATTTAATATTATGCCCATTTAACACAATGGATTACAGAGGAAGCTCCCACCCCTTCCTTTTTTACTTTTGAATATAAAAGATAGATACATCCCACATAAATAATGTAAATAATTGTAACCACTTAAGTGCAGTAAAGTTTACTTTTAACTGACTCCACTAACACACATAAAACAGCACATGGGATAAGTTAACCTTAAGAGCTTTCTGTCAGAAAGTCCTTTACGGAAGAATTCTTGTTATTCTAACTCAAACCATCTTTCTTCATAAAACTTCAGCTTAAAGTTGGCTTAAAGCCTTGAAGGCAAACTTCTCCCAACTGCCATTAACAACATCAATATCAAATTCAACTCAATAATTACTGTCAAGATTCAGAGACAAAATAATGTTTTTTTTGGTTTGTTTGTTTTTTTGCTAGTAATTCATTATTAGCTTAAGCATGATTACATTGCATAGATTAGCCGAGCGGCTTGTTAATCAATAGATTACATGTGTAATTTATACTTGTTCTTACTTACCGTTGGTTTAAGTCACTGTATCTCCCGTGCAGGCACAGTTTTTCAGATCAGTATTATTGAAACACAGCAGCTAATGTTGCTGGAGTGAGAAGTTAGTGGAGTGAGATGCTAGCCAGGCAGGTAATGCTACACTGTATTTTATCTCATTATGGCATTGTTTACATACGGTATGTGCTCTGTCTGTTGACCCATACTTTCTCCTTAATCTAAAATATTTCCACACCCGAGTAAATAACGTTATCCTCTTCATCTTTCTCTTGGCTGCTTGCCATCTACCTGCCACTGTTTGACGGTGAAGGCCTATTTTTAAAATAAAAGCATATCCTAGAGATGATGATATAGATTGATGTTTTCACTTTGCATTGATGATATTGGGACACTGATCATTGAATCAATATATTGATCCAGATCAATGGATCATTACACCATTAATAAACATATGAGGTGGACTGCAGTCTGACTAGCAAAGTCAGAATGCCTAACCAAAAATCGCTTCTCAGTATAGAGAACAAGAAAATGAATGAGCAGAGAGGTGAAGGACAAAAAGAAAAAAAAGAAAAAAAAAATGAAGCAGCAGCAGGCATGACAGGCAGAACTGATGGTGAGATGTGAGGCCGACTAATGTCAGTGAAAAAAATGCTGTATCAGGCTCAGTTTTAAAGCTACAGTGAAGACACAGGTATCATGTTAAACTAGAGGACATAAGGCCATTGGTACCAACAATATTATACTATCTTGTTGGAAAGGGTGCCAAATACACAGTTACACTAAACTTTGGTTAGGGAAAAAGGAATGTTATTTTTCAGTGTATTGAAAAATGTCTGCATACTGGGGTCCATAAACAGTCTTGGAATGACACACATTGAGTTTGACTGGAAAACTGAGAGTTGACAGCCATATACTCTTTATACTATTTTAATCCTGCACACAATTTGACAAATATTTGATTAAAGTAGCCTCAAGATTGAATGAATAAATGAAGAAAAAACAATACGCCTATTTGTTCACTTGTTCGCTGTGATACCATGCAGTAATTTCTTCAATCAGTGTTTGATTTGACTTATCTCTAATCACTTATTGGAAGGCATTTTTTTTCAGCCCAGGACACAGATGTGACTACTCTGCTTTTCAAAATATAAGGTCTTAATACAGAATAGATAAAGAATACATGTGAAAATATTATTAATATAATTGGATCACATTCACAGTAAGTATACAATTTTGCATAATAATATGTATAGTAATTTTGTTTCCATGAATTTATAATCACCTAAAAATAAGAATTGTTGGATTTTTGTTAGAATGACCTGTTTGTGTCTACACACAGACCGGGTTCTCTTCCACAGAGTCTGCCATGTTGTTTCTACAGTAGTCAAGAACAGACAAACAAGTGAACGGACCTCCATATATTATCGATATCACTATTTACATTTTTGGGTTGGTAGCTCTCCCCTGTGAGAACTGTAGTTCTCTAGTACAGAGCCCCTTAAAGGTCAAGTTGGGAGATTTTTTTTGGACTGGCTTTTGCGTCCCCTCGCAATACTTTTGCGTCCCCTCGCAATACTTTTGCATTCCCTCGCAATAGCTTTGCATTCCCTTGCAATAACGTTTTAGATTCCCATGAGCCACTATTGTCACTTCGTCTTAGATGCCCGCATTGATCGGTGACCAACGTAAAATGTATAAAGCTGCTGCCCATATCAGGTAAAATTGTGTGTCACTCTCGCCTGGCGAGATCTCCTTTTAAACTGTAGTGTTGTTATTATTGTCTTTCATGCCGTTGTAAGTAGCCTACTTAATTAGGTTCGGGAACCGGCACCGTGCTGGTTCTGTGTCAGTCGAAATGCGCTATTTGTAACTCCAGGCCCAGCTCTGCCACTGATTGGCCAGTCTGACATTCTTCATAATACACAAAGAACATTAGTGAAATAATAGGCCTAACAGAAACATGCATTCGTTTGGGATAAGTTAGTGGTCACGTTACTCGTTCCACAGGCGAAGGACGCCGGACACATACAGTAAATACACGGGTTGTAAGTAACTTTTAACATACGTGAGTCTTTGTGACTCTTGACTCTTGTCCCCTAACTAACGCTTGTTTCTGTTCCACTAACGATATTTTCACATGATTAAGTCACATCCCGTTATTTCCCATTATTTCCTCTGTAAACCTAACGTTACAGCAGCCTACAAGCATGCTGTGTCAATAAATCAGCTCAGACACTGTTAGAAATGTAGTATTTAGCCTAATAACATCATGCTACAGCAGTAATAACGTCAGCTTTAGTCAAATGGCTCTAGCTCTCCCAGTAAATGTTATAAACTCTGGGCACATTTTCCCTGTATGCTGACATGATAATGGTCACGTTTCCCAGATCACTCTTAGTGCTAAGAGCTTCTTGGGAATGCTCTTAAGCCTCCTGTGAAAGAAAAACGCGTTTCCCAGATCGCTCTTAGCTTAAGAAGATCTTTCACTAAGAAGGAGTTGTAAGAACGAGCTGATCTACACTTAACAGTCTTCTTAGTGACCAAACGCTCACAGCTCCAGCCGCGTCAGGCAAATTAATATTACACTACGCAAGAAGATGTTAAAACAGTGCGCACCGTATATATTTTGATCTATTTTATACTTCAGATTTATATTGTTTAGCATTAATTGGTGACAGAAAAGAACGATTTTCATTCTGCAGGGAAACGCGTGTCCTTACTGTGCATATTGAATCTTGAATCTACATGTTTTATGAAGACCCTGGTCCTGGGGGGGGGATTGGGGGTTGTTGAGGAGGTTGGCAGTGCGGCGGGTGCGTGAGGAAGTCTGAGGAGTGAGGAGTTCTTTAAGGTAGAGTGGAGCATGTCCATGAATGCACTGATGTGCGAAGAGGGAGACCTTGTATTGAATTCTGAGTTCAACGGGCAGCCAGTGGAGTGATTTGAGGATGGGTGTGATATGGTCACGCTTGCGCACCCTCATCAGGATTCTAGCAGCGTTGTTCTGGACGTATTGAAGCCTCTTGATGCTTTTACTGGGGATCCTGATGAGGAGTGCATTACAGTAGTCCAGCCTGGAGGAGACAAAGGCGTGGACGAGCTTTTCAGCATCTGACAGGTTGAGTGATGGACGGAGTTTTGCAATGTTTCTGAGGTGGTAAAAGGAAGTCTAAAAGGAAGGTGTTTGATGTGGGTCTCGAATGTAAGGTGGGGGTGAATTTTAATGCCGAGGTTGGTGACTGAAGTAGACAGAGGGATGTTCTCCCCGGGGAAAGATGCTGGCGAGGGTGGATGATCTGACCTGGTGTGGGGTGCCAACAAGGATGGCTTCAGTCTTGGAGCTGTTAAGTTGTAAGAAATTTAGCTTCGTCCATGCCTATATCTCCTCCAGGCAGGTAATGAGTGAGGCAGATGGCAGGAGTGTAGAGGGGGTGGAATCTGTCCGGAGGTAGAGTTGTGTGTCGTCAGCATAACAATGGAATGATATTCCATGCCTGCAGATAACATGGCCGAGGGGGAGCATATAGAGTGTGAAGAGGGTAGGACCCAGCACGGAGCCTTGAGGGACACCACAGGTGACATAGACTCACAAGTCAGTCTTTAGACGCTTTGCTTAACTAAAGACTGATGACTTTCTCCCTGATTTTGTGTTTAGATGGGCGGATACAATTTCAGAGTTTAAAAAAACTCCCTACAAGCTAGCAAAGCAGTTTTGTGTTGCTATGTGTGGTATTTATTCAATTTTGGGAAATCACGATGTCTAGAAAGCATCAGTGGCGGCAGCTGACAGGGACAGCTAACAGCAGCAGCAAAGCTAACATCAGGACGTCATCTGTTAAAAGCCTCCCATTGTTGGATACGGGGGGAGCGGTGCGGATTAAGGGAATATAACTTCAAGATCACTCTAGTTAACGACAGCTACACTTGTTACTGTGAGTAAGTGCGATAAGTTAGAGTACTTTGTGTACTTTGATTACTTTTTGCAGTAACAAGTAACCTAACGTGTTAGTTTGCTGTTTGAGTAATCAAATACTTAAGTACATTTTCAAACAAGACATCAGTTACTTCCGTTACTTTTAGAATGCTGGTCCGAAAACAGCTCCGAAACAGCAACGGCTGTCGTTTGGTTCTAATAACGGAGATAACGTTAAACCTATCAGTCTGAAAAAAGCCAGGAGCTTGTGGCTCGCTACGTGGTCGGAGAAATGCTGCCGTTGTCTACGGTGGAGTCTAAGTAGGTGGAGGAGGACTCGCTGACAGACATATTTCAGACTCAGGACTTGCATTATGTCTGGTACAAGCTACACGCTGGTACTCACCAATTATCCCCGGTCATCTTTCACGGCGTGTGGGATGTCATCGGGTTATTCTTGTCCTATTTTTATTTCACTATTATTTGAGTCAGAACTGTGTCTGTTCATGTGCCAGCCGACATGTTGTTGTAGTCACCTAAAACATAGACATATATACGTAGACGCTGCATCAAGTGGGTTTGCCCGCTGCTGCGATACGTCAACGTCGCCGCCATATTGGATGTGGCAAGGCTGCGCTGTAAACTAATAGAAGTGAATGGACTTAATTTCATAAAGCGCCTTTCTACAAAGAAATTTACGTTAATGCCTCGTTTATTCATTCACACACACACACACACACACACACACACACACACACTAATATACTTGGGAAACAGGCACCAAAAATAATGCATTTGATCTTCTCAGATGGCTAAGATAAGAACTTTATTGATCCCACACAGGAGTAA